GGAGCTCCTGACTACACTACACCCACTGCTATAGGATATTAGGAATTATTACTGCTTCGATGTTGCACGGAGCACTCTGCACGCTGCTGACCCTCTCTCTCCATGTGTCTATCAGCACTTGGCAGTGGTGCAGATTCTCTGGTTAGCCTAAGTCTCACTTGGTAGCCAAACCCATAAAATGAACATTGAGCCAGAGTACCCGATGGGGGAGGACGGTGTTCCCAGCCCCTGTTTCCCTTAGGACTCAATCATACGAGTGGGATTTACCAGGAAAGTTCAGTGCCTTCCAGGCATTTCTTTCTTTTTGCTATTTTTCTACCCTCCGGGCTCTGAGACAGAAAAAAAACAAACAGTGTGCACCAACCAATGAGTGGGTTGGGCTGGGAGAAGAACATGAGACCTGGTGGGGAAGAGAAAAGATAAGCCACCCTCAGATTTGGCATGTGCCCCAGTGGGGGGAAACTACAGCAACATACAGACCATTTGTACATTTCTCCCAATGGGACAAATTTTGAACACCCATGAAGCTTGCCTTATACTGAATCAGACCACTGGTGTATCAGGGTGAGTATCGTGAAGTAGAGACATCACCCTGCCAACAAAAGTCCGCATGGTCAAAGCAATGGTATTCCCTGCAGTAATGTATGGCTGCGAGAGTTGGAAGGCCCAGCGCCGAAGAATAGATTCTTTTGAACTATGGTGCTGGAGAAGACTCTTGAGAGTCCCTTGGACTGCAAGGAGATCAAATCAGTCAATCCTAAAAGAAATCAACCCTGACTGTTCCCTGGAAGGCCACATAATGAAAATGAAGCTCAAATACTTTGGCCACCAAATGAGAAGGGAGCACTCACTGGAGAAGAAGACCCTGATGCTGGGAAAGATTGAAGGTCAAAGAAGACGGGGACGGCAAAGGATGAGATGGTTAGACAGTGTCATAGATGCAACGAACATGAAATTGAGCCAACTTCAGAGGATGGTGGAAGACAAGAAGGCCTGGCGGGATCTGGTCCATGGGGCCGTGAAGAGTCGGACTCGACTGTGCGACTGAACAACAACAACAATTGTCCACTCAGACTGGCAGCCGCTCTCCAGGGTCTCAGGCTAAGAAAGGTCTTTCACATCACCTCCTGCCTGGTGCTTTTAACTGGAGATGCTGGAGACTGAACCTGGGACCTTCTGCATGCCAAGCAGAGGCTCTAGCACTCAGCCAC